TAGAGAAAACAAGAGTGTAGAAATCTTTAAAACTCCATATTTGAAAAAGAGAAATAATATTTAATTATTTCTTACAAATAAGACATTGAAATTACTATTATATTTCTTACTAAAGGGTCTTTGGCCTAGCAGTATCGTAGTCTTAGTCTTTTAGGAGGTCAGAGGTTCAAACCTCACCATAGGTGAGGAGGAGGTGTGAGTTTATTTGTTGCATTTACCGTATATAAATATTATATACTTAAAAAAAATGTTTAGCAGAGTAATAATATTCTTTTAAATGCATCGAATATTTTAATAGAATAGATGTTGTAGTTGAATATAATTTTTTGAGATTTTAACTTATGATACTTTATTATAAAAAAATTATGGTATAATTTTTGGAGATGTTGTGAATAAAAAAATCAACCACATTGGGTTGGGGATGAACCGTACGATTAGGATAGAAAAGAGGTGGGCCATACCTTTAATCATGCTTTTATCCCCCCAATTAAACATAATAAACATGACTTTACAACGATTTTGGCTTTACTTTGGATTTTCTTAAGTATTTTCTATTTGTAGTTTTCTCGAATATAATCTAATCTTCATCTACATTTTATGGTATCTTGATTAGAAAGTCGGATCGAATATAATCTAATCTTCATCTACATTTTATGGTATCTTGATTAGAAAGTCGGAAAGAAATTAGATGAAAAATGATGTTTTAAAACATGTATTTTGAAATATTGACTATCGATCATGTTTATGTTTTTGTCCTGTTTCTCGGTAGTTGTTATTGAGTCCCTTCTTTTCTTTTTCTCTTTTTTAATTTCTATTTTGACTTGGGGTTGTTTGCTTATCTCTTAATAGTTCCATTAAGAGTCAGCATATGAATCCTAAGAGGTGGATCTTGTCTGACAAAAAAAAAGTCTGTCTCTTAATGGTTTTAAAACCTTTTGAACGATTTTTTTTTTATTTTGGGTCTTCTTTAATCATTCAGCGTCCTGATTTCGTTGTAAATAATTACCAAACAATCATATTTCATTTTGTACTATATAATAAGAGTCTCTTAATCATTTTGATCACTTAATCGTTCTGCTCCAAACCATTCAACAATTGCTAAACAACCCTTTAATATATATATATATCTTGCAGATAAAGCTTTTTGTTGTTTGTTGTTTACAGCTTGTTTGTGTTAAATTATTGCCTTCCAAAAAAAGTTTAATAGGATACAAATTGATGCATAAATTTTATCGTGCGTGACGTAAGAATTATGTAATTATTCCTGAAAAATTATAGAATCCATTTGGTAAAAGCATCAACACTTTTGATAGTTCATTTATATATTCATTATTCAAAAGCATAGCTTCTGCCTTCTATGGTAAGGAAGTGATTCGCCTTTTTCATTCTTTTCATTCTTTTTAGCTTTTGAAAATTGAACCAAATTTGTGTACTTCTAAATACAAAATAAAATTGCGTTACATTTTTCTTAACTTAATAATTAAAATTAGAATTATGTTTTATATACTTGCAAACAAACCAAACAAACACAATTCTTGCAAAGACTACAAACCAATCAATTAGTATATTTATAAAAATGATAAGTGTTCATTTATTATAATTTGAATATTTATGAAAAACGATTAGAGTTTATTAATTAGAGTTAATGTTCTATATTAGGAAACAATTGATATATATATATATATATATATATATGAAATTAGATATTCGTTATACTAGATGGACAGTTGAGATCAATTTGTATGATTTATAGCTTTTGTAAGGTTTGTATTTGATTTGTCACCTCCCTCCCCCTCTCTCTCTCTCCCTCTCTCTCTCTCTCTCTATATATATATATATATATATATATTAGACATTCATTTTGATATATTTTTATGGTTCTCCAGCTTTTTTTTCTCCGAAAGTTAGTTCTCTCTGAATACATATAGACATTTAAAAGAGACAAGGAAAGCTAATTCCCAGATAACAAGAGCATGTAAAATAAAGCTGAAATATATATTTATTTTTCGTAATTTGGCAAGTTTGCTATATTGTTACAAACAGTTTTGCAAATGGGTGATTTTATCAAAAACTTATTGAATAAATGCTTACGGGATGTCACTTGCCTTATGGGATAAGCACGACAAGGCCTAAAAATCTTACCCCGAAAAAGACATACCTAATAAGTGAGATGAAAGACTCTTACCCAATAAACATTCATCATATAAAAGACGTTTATCAACAATCCATTTTAACGATCGAGAATGTTATCCAATAAGATAAGTGAGGATGATAATTTTTACCGATAAGCATCTTGCAAACAACCTAAATTGACAAAACTCAAATTCTTGATGGCTTTGGTCTATTTGTTGATCTAGAAATCAAATTAATAAGACTTGTAATTAGTCTTTGTTTTCTTTACAAGAAGAATTCAACTCACACACCACAAGGGTAGTGTCTAATTGGTTTGGATTTGGGTTCCAAAAGTCAAAAGTATCTAGAAATCTCAGGTTCGAATCCAAGGAGGAATAAAAATTCCCTTATGGCCACGAAAGTTTAAATGCGGTAATTCCAAGCTACCCACGAAACGAATGATCATCCTAAGATCAGTTGACTCACATAACTTATTAGATATCCAGGTTAATAAAAAAATCCGGCCAAAGACATAATAAAAGTACATTTTGTGGATAAATAATGAATGATGTCTTTTGAACCAATGATGGGTACTTTTTTAATTGAGAAAATCCCACACTTGATTAATTTAAAAATAGTGTCGACTTCTCTTACTTCCATTATATTTTACCAGTCGACATATGCAATTTAAATATTCTTACTCTTATCATAAAACCTATAATCCATTCATATTTAGTTGTTTTAATTTGATATATATAATGAAACGTCTAAATATTTCTCAATCTCATAAAATCAACAAGATTTTGTTTGTGTAAAAAAGCCGTAATTAAGTAGTAATCAATATGTCTTATAGTAGTGGATTCAGAAACTTGTATATATAATGAAACGTCTAAATATTCCAGTTAAACCGAGACGTTATAAAACGTAAAAAGAAAGTTAGAGAAAACCAAAAAAAATAGTTGATATGGGAGAGTGGCTGAGTGGTCAAAAGCGATAGACTGTAAATTTGTTGAAGTTTTTCTATGTATCTTAGTTAGAGAGGACGGGGAATCTATAGATCGACGAGAATAGAAGCGAGTAGCTTGCGGCTTGTAGTAATAGTCTTTTAGCTTATATAGTTGACGGCCTTCCTACACACACCCGGCCGCCGGAATGCCTCCTTGGTTCGAGATGAAGCCAAGCCGATACATACGATACGCAAAGGAAAGACCCCCCATTTCATAACGCCTGGTTTGATCGAGGATTGGAGAGGAGAGGAGAGGTGGAAGTTATAACAAACAAAATCAATTAAAATTAGATAACTTGGGACGTGATCTTGATGCATGAATGAATTGGTGACTCTTTGAGATGAGATGTGTAAATGCAAATATGAGACGAAAAGAATTATTATTAGAGTCGAGGGTTCTTACCTATTAATTATTATTAGGGGCATATTAGTAATTTTAGGCAAAACAAATAAACCTGCATGTCGTACATGTGGGTTTCTTGCAGGGCTTTGCCTTGTATCCGCCCCACAGTAACCCATTAGATATCTGTAAAACTCCAGTTCATAAGGAACACAATCCCCCAAACACACGCTAACTCACAAACTATGATTGGTTTTTTTTTTTTTTCTTAACTTGGATATTCAATTCGTTATATGAACCGATTAATTTCAGAACGACTACCGTTTTACGGATAGCATTGAGTCATCGTATTTGAATTATTGTGGCCACAAGAGAATTTTTATTAGTTTCTCATTGGATTTGAACATGAGACCTTTTAACCTTTGGAGTCTAAACTAAAATCAATCAGACACCACCTTCAATCCACGAATGTTTGTGCAACTATATATGCAAACGATCAAATGGGTAAATTTGGATAAGAACAAATCTCTAAAAATACCTCACCATAGGTGAGGAGGGTGTGTGAGTTTATTTGTTTCATTTGTCGTATATAAATATTATATACTTAAAAAAAATCTCTAAAAATAAAAAGAATATTTATTTATTATATAATTTTCCATGGAACTAAAAACATTTATTTAGATATGGGTTTTTTTTTTTATCTTTTGAAAGAGAGAGTAAACTTATGCTTATATAGATTTAGATTCACAACATAATACATAGTTAGGTTCAATAGAAAATCTTAAATAAATGAAAAACTAAAAAACATCTTAAAAACCGTTAGATTAATTGATCTAATAGATATGATTAAATGAGTGGGTACAACAATATTTTTAAAATTTAAAAAACTCAGCTTCTATTTTTTTTTTGACATCCATATTGAAATACTTTTTCATCCATTTTCTCATGGTTCTTGAGTTTTTTATTTATTTAACATTTTTCTTTAAAGCGAACCTATAATAAGGTGTTTTAGCTCCACTATCCACCAATAGGAACTATTTTTGTAAATGAACTTGGATTTCTTTTCCTAATTCTTGCAATTATTTTATATCAACATATATATAGTTTATTATCAAAGGACCTTTGGTCTAGCGTTATCGTAGTCTTTGGCCTCGCCAAAGGTAAGGAGGGTATATGAGTTTATTTATTGCATTTGTCGTATATAAATATTATATACTTCAAAAAGAATATAGTTTATTCATTTTTCATATAATTATAATGATGCTTTTAATTAATGAATTATATGTAATCATCTTTACTAAGTCTAATTAAAAATAAAAAAAATAAAAAAAAATACATATATTGTTAATTGATTTATCTAATAAATCATAGCAAATGAAAAGAAGATAAAGCCCAAAGACTAGAAAACTTAAAAACACATTGACTAACCAATAACCATGGTTAGGTTAAAGAAACCCAATCATGAGCCAATCACTTAATTCCCATGTACTATATATACAAACCACCGCGCATGCAATCCCTCTCACTCCACATCTCTACTCTATACTCTATACATTAATTAAGCTTTCATATTAATTCCATAACTCCAGAAAAAATGAAGATGAGGCCAAACTTCTTTCTTCTGATCCCATGCTTTCTAGTAGCCTTCTACCATCTCTCTCTCCCACTTCTCTTTTTTATTTCTCTTTTATCTCTCCTTCCCTTGTTTGTTAACCTATGGTTAATCCCGGGTGGGTTTGCATGGAGAAACCCCGACTTAAACCCTAGTAAGATCCCTGGTCCGGCTGGTTTGCCTTTCCTGGGGATCTTACCTATAATGGGTTCTCATGCTCATCGAAAACTAGCCTTTCTAGCTAGTTCCATGGGTGCAACTCGTCTTATGGCGTTTAGCCTGGGTGCAACTCGTGTTGTTATTACTAGTCACCCAGAGATTGCTAAGGAAATCTTGTGTGGTAGTGCCTTTTCAGACCGTCCGGTAAAGGAATCAGCCAAGTTATTGATGTTTGAACGAGCCATTGGATTTGCACCATCGGGGAAGTATTGGAGACATCTGAGGAGGATCGCGACAAACCACATGTTCTCGCCGAAAAGGGTTTTGAGCCTGGAGGGTCTTAGACAACGGGTGTGCGATGAAATGGTGGGAAACGTGTCGAAGGAGATGGGGGAGAAAAAGATGGTGGAGATAAGAGGGATATTGCAAAGAGGGTCTTTGAGAAATGTTATGGAGAGTGTGTTTGGGAATGGGTTAGGGTTCGAAAAAGAAGAAGCATTAGGAGTTATGGTGAAAGAAGGGTATGAGTTGATAGGTGAGTTTCATTGGGGGGATTATTTTCCAATTAGGGTTTTGGACTTTAATGGGGTCAAGAGGAGGTGTCATAAGTTGACTTTGAAGGTCAAAGGTGTCGTAGGTCAAATTGTTGAGGAAAGAAGAAGAGATGGTGGTGGTATTAATATTGGCAGGAATGACTTTCTTAGTCTATTGCTGTCTTTGCCTACAGAAGATCAACTGAGTGATGCTGATATGGTGGCTGTTCTGTGGGTAAATATCTCTCTCTCTCTCTCTCTCTCTCTCTCTCTCTCTCTCTTTCTCTCTTTCTCTCTCTGTGTGTGTGTGTGTGAATATATATATATATATATATATATGTTGTGTATGTATTAATATATAAAAACAATGAAATATTATAATATATATATATATATATACGTATGTATTTGAGATATAGAAACAGTGAAATATTATATGTATATATAAAGATTATTTTTTCATTCATTCTCTCTCTAGATATATCTCTATCTCTCTCTAAACCCTATTATTCACTCTCTCACTCTCATATGCATAACATGAAGCAACTACCGTGACTTTTTTAATGAACATGCAAAGATTACATATGCCTTAATTAATCACTACCATATATACATTAACTTAAGCGATGAGCTTCATATTTCATAAATCTAAACTTGTATACATAGAGAGACATCAGGTTTAATTATTTACAAATCATGTAATTTTTACAAACTATACAAATCAATTTTAGGGTCCATTTACCAAACACTTATCCGGTAAGCGTTTATCGGTAAAATTTTAACACTATCATTTATTTATCGGGTAAGATTTTAGTCCACCAAAACGGCATCGTATGCAACAATTTACCCGGTAAGCGCTTACCATGGTAAGAGTCGTCGCCCTCACTTACTGGGTAAGACTCTTGATCCTTTTGTCTCGCTCTTACCGGATAAGATTTTTTGTCCTTACCATATTTATCGGATAAGGTAATGTGACTTGATGTTCACTTACCCGAGTAAGCGTTTGGTAAACGTTCCCTTAGTCGACTATCTAATCAAATAAATATATGATTTCATTTCGTTTTTCCTAATATAAAACCATGATCATAATGAATATAAACTTATCATCTTTCATCTATATATCTAAATCATGATAATTTTCCATAAATACTTCAAATATTTCTTAATATGAACATTGATCATAGTTTGTAAAATAAATTGCCTATATATATATATATATATATTTTAAAGTATTTAATGAA